AGGCTGCAACAGACTACCCCGGAAACAATATCAATGAGGAAATGAGAACCGCAATACCTGAAACGGCGAGAACCCTAGGTTTGGCCATCTGACTGCGGCCTAATTTGCTCCCAGGCTTCCCCCAGATCCCGCGGCTCTTGGCGACTCGGATCGACATTAAGACCGCCTGCTTGGTGCCTTCAATGGCCGCCTCGCAGGCTCTCCTGAGCTCTTCATCGTCCGCGCTGGATTTCGCCATGTTTTTGTGTATGTAAACTTCCTCTCAAGCTTGCAAGAACTGGAGCTTGGAAGAAGGGAACAAGGTGATCCGAATTTTCAAGGACAAACTCAGTCCAACCGAGTCATTGAAGACCACTGGCGACCAAAAATCAATTGTTTTTCTTTTGTTTTTGGAAAGACTACAAAAGAATTGAGCATAGAACACTGTATTTTCTGTCTCCCGATACTATCCAAAATGTAATTGTACCCCTAGAAATTTTACTTCCTCACCCAAATAGAATAATTGTTTTATAAAAAAAATTATTTATTTTTATTTCCTTTTTACAGTGTAGCATTCATATATTTATATTTTTTTAATTTGTAAAAGCACAGCGAGTAAAAGAAGGAAAACTAAAATGTACATGTAATCAATTATGAAATCGTTGACTTGAGTAAATTTTAGAAATGATTTTTTGGACACTTTTCATTTGGCAAAAACATACTCCGTAATACCTTAGAGTTAATATATTGAAAATACTACTCTAGCAAAAACATAATACCTTAAAATTAATATATTGAAAATACTACTCTAGCAAAAACATAATACCTTAAAGTTAATATATTGAAAATCCTATCTATATAGATAGGATTTAGTATTAGCGTTGTTAAAATGTGTATATATACCATTTAAAACTTATGGAAAATGATTACGCTAATTGAAAACAAACTCCAAAGGAAAATGCTAAAGTCACAAATAAATAGTTTACAAACTTTACAAATTTGCTTTTTGCAAATTTTAAATTAAAATATCTTTTATTATTTGAGTGCATCTTGATTCTAGAAAAATGTTAAAAAAGCAAATTTGTGAATCTTGTGAACGGTTTGTTTGTGACTCTAGCATTACTCAATTCCGAAACAATGCTTCAAAATAATTTGTTGTATTAGTCATAAGTTTAGTATTTCATTGATTATTAAATGAAATGCTAAACTCTAATACGCATTCCTTATTTTAAGACTAATAAAAACAAATTTTAAAAAAATTGTGTTATTTTATACAAAAGTTGTTAATGTGAAAATATGATGTTAGGATCATGTTCAATACTAATATTTGAATAAACTGAAATATTTTATTTATTTTCAGGGTGGATTAAGCGTGTAATAAACTCTTTTTACAAACAAATGAAGGTTGTTGGAATAAACTCTATTTACGAATGATGTTAGTATCATGTTCAAGAATATTTGCTATATTAATTTGATTACATTGCATTATTGCAATATTGCATAAATTACGAAGTACTTGAAGAAAAATGTGGTAATCACTAACCAAAATGCATGACAAAAAGAGAAAAAAAGAATAAATAATGTAATCTAATCTAAAAGGAAAATTGCTACTTTAAATACATAGACAACATCAAAGTTGCGGCGTCAACATTGATGTCGTCCATGGTGTAACTCTAGCATAACCCAATCTAAAAAGGCACATCATTGCTACCCCTAGATTATTAAACTGTACTCCATAGCAGTTAAAATGGCTCCTCATCCATTCAAACATCACCAGCCAGTTCTGAGGCTTTTACTTTTACCGCACCTGTTGATCTATAAGGAGCTACAGTATGATTGGACGGTAAATGAATCAGTAAATCGTTTTCAATGCATTCGTACCTGCGAATTACCACAACAATGGATGAAAATCAAATGTTAGGTAAGAGTTATGTAGGAGAAATGACAATGAATTCTTTTTTTAAACAATAAACTAAGCATAAGTGGACTTAAATTTAAACATTTGGTTGAAATCGATTTTACCAAATGCTTTTCTTTTTGAGAAATTCAGCCTCATTTCAGCCAAATAACCCTTACCATATAGGCTCTTATGATCCAAAACCCGATTTTTGAAGGGTTATTATTGTCCGTGTGAAAAATAATTTACTAATCAGAAAATCAAGAAGAGAAGATTAGCAAGTGCAAAAGCAATCATACAGTTTTCTGCAGAAATTGTTGATGACTAGTGAGAGAGCGATGATCTTCAGCCGCATCTCAGCAACCTTATTTACTGCAAACTCATCAATAGGCTGTTCCAAATACATTGAGAGCCTCTCAGTATTTGTCTCAAGCTGCTGTTGATGGTCCTCAAAAAGGTGTTGTTTTATTTCCTTCTCTCTTAGGGTCATTTTGTTCTCAGCCAGGGCATCACCAAACATGTAATAAGCAAATGGATAGGAATGCGCGAGGATATGTCTTGATTGGAAGAGCCTGTTAAGTGCATTTGTCACCCATTTAAAGTCCATTGATGCCGCAATCCCTGACTCAAGCTTTGAAACTCTTTCCTGCAACTTTTGCTTCAGGTTTGCTTCTGCCTTTAAAGAATCAATATGGGCTTTGTAACGGTTGAAATAATGAGTATAGCGCAATAGCTGCTTTTTCGCATTAACAATTTTTTCCTTGTAGTTTTCTTTATATCGGCCACAAGTGTGACCTTCAATTGAATCCCACGTGTGTGCTAAACCAGTAGCGCCACCACAAAGCCAACTGCAAATAGGAAACATCACCCATCACCAAACACATTAATAGGTTACAAAGAATCAACTGATGAGTAAAAAGCCTGCTTGAATCCTTCGTTAGTTTAGTAAAAATAGAAGAAAAGCAAAAAGCTACACAATTGCAACGAATGCACAAACCTTTTTATGCTAAGAGCTTGTTAGGTAGGCTTCATTTTTTGCACCAGTCTTATTGACTTTTTAACTACATTGTTGTTTCTTTTTAAAGAAATGCAGAAGCTACTTTTTTGGCTGAAATCGATACTTCTACCTTTATTTTAGGTATTACTTTCAAGACCATTTCCCCGAATTAGGTCATTTCATTCACAACTTCATCAAATTTAGCCATTTTGGGTCTTACCAACAAGGCAACATGCTATAAATGAGACTACAAATACAAGTTACGAAATATCAAGATGCTGACAGGGAGTATTGCACTCACCAAAATGGTTGTCCACACAGGCATCTCACAAGGTTACACCCTTCATTTTTCTCCACGGGCTTTTTGCATTTTGGGCAATCTTTTGTGTAAACGGCTTTATAATTCACTGTCTCAGAATCATCACTGCACTTCTTCATCCATAACTCCCACATCAGGCACGAACAAGGCGAATGTGTTTGGGACGAGCAACTAAAACAAAATTGTAGACCACATTCACATTCAACATCACAACACTCATTAGTATCAACATAAATTGCATTCCCACAATGGGGTATGCTTGGGCACCATTTCACCATCTTGTTATCCTCGATGTATGACTCCAAAAGAAAACGTTCAAATTTCCATGCCAAATCAGGATCCCTCTCACCAACCAGATTCTTAACCTTTACTTCATCACAAATTGCATTACACTTATATTCCATGCATTGGATTTGCTTACTCTTGCCCGCATTTAGTTGGACCGTGAAATGCCCCGCCCAACCTACGGGAACCAATTTTTAATTAGATAAACATTAACAGACCTTGCGCGCATATAAAAAGTGAGGCATATCAGCTCCCTTGGATAGTTCGTAAAATTGATAGTTCCTACCCCCAGCCCCCTCGGTTTGCTGATTAGTAGCAGCTTTCCTACTTGGTCTACAACCAATCAGCGATCTAGGAAGTTGAGGCAGGGGTTGGGGTAGGAACTATCAATTTTACGAAAGGGACAGTGTAGGTGCCCGATGTCATATTATGACATTAGGATCTAATCTCAAAAGATCCTAACACATATTTTGTTTAAAAAAACTATCCAAGGTCAATTCACGTATGAAGATGTAGAATGATTAACTTACAATCATTGCAAAATGAATGGCCACAATCCATTGTTGTTGCCTCCGCAAGAGGAATATCATCATAACAAATTTTGCATGTCATGTTAGCAGCAGACCCACTTACGGAAGGAGCGCAATTGCATTCTACCGTTACCCCAGCTTCCGCATATAATCTTTCCTTTCCTTTCTCCACAAAGATTGCTACAACTTTGTCAACATCCCAACGGTAATGAATAAGTAATGTCCGCACATGATGTTCCTTGATCAATAGCAAGTCCTTCACTCTTTGCAAGTCCTCTTTCTACAAAAAAACACATTGCAAATAATAATCCACAGCATCGTGTGACTTGACTAATCCAACCATAGGGCATCTGAGAATTGAACTCATGACATCTCGGTCAACAAAGCTTTGATATCATATATCAAAGAATGAGCTCGAAGAAAAAAAAGATTGAGTTGATGGTTGGAGATTCATGAAAGATTTTATACTTTACCTGTGCAGCCAGAAGAGAGTCTCTTGTAATCACCTACAGTAAGTAAACCATACATCTCATTAGATTTAAGAATAGACAAGTTCAAGGTTGACATTAGTTTTGTCCTCCCAAAGATGAAGCCTGGCAAAAGTATGTAATTTCATAGTTGTGTTTTGAGGGCTTTTGAGCTGGGCAGCCCTTCATAGAAGGCAGGTATTGGTTTAGATGAGCTCGCTAGGCTGTAAATTCTTCTCCTTTTTCGAGTTGGTAATGACATGAGAAAAAAACAACAGCTAAATTTATCTGAACAGTGAAAACACACACACAAAAAAGCACCAGCAACATGATAAAACTATAAGCTCTCCCCCGCCCTGTCAATGACGCCATGAAAAAAAATGGAAGAAAAACTGAAATTTGTCCTCAGAAATACACTGTAAAAGGGTAGATAACAACCCGAAACTCAAATTCCGGTGAGAATGGGGAGCGGTATTTGTTTACCAGCAACACAATTAAGAGGTGACAAAAACAAATAATAATAATAAGAAGAAGAAGAAGAAGATGTGCCATAATCAATCATACCTTGCACGATGGAGCTCTGGGGATTCCGGCATCTGCGATTTCGTGGGAATCGGAACCCGAGTCGTAATCACAGTCATCGTCTTCGGAGGAAGCTCGATCGTCGTATTCATCGCCGTCGAACCCATCCGAATCCATTTTACTGGAAATTGTTAACGTATAAAGATTGATTAAAAGGCGGACTAACAGTGATTGCAACTCAGTAATGGTGGTGATTATGAACTCTTCTTGATTTCCTCCGGTTTGATTAGGAATGCAAACTGCGGACTTGTACGTTCCTATTATTCCTTGTGCTAATCTGAGTAATTAATTCTATTTGGGCTAGGACTGGGCAATTTGCGTCCAACACTCTACTAATTTATTGTTACCAAAAACGCTCTCTTTCTTTCCTAAAACTTATTTTCTTTTTTTTTTTTTTTGAGCATGATCTTTAAGATTGGAAAAAAAATTAATACTCCCTCCGTGCTAAAACTTTCTTTCCAGAGCACTATTCCAACTTCACAGGAATTTATATTTATTTGTGTTTTTTCATGGACTATATGATAAAATAAAATATTCTTGTCACCACTTGTTTTGTTGAACTTTTGATGTAGTTTTTAAATATGTATGTTTTTATTTTTTATTTCTATACCAATATTTAAATAAAATAAATTGAAAAAATTTGGAATTTTTCTTCGTTTTGCGCAACGGGAAGAAAGATATAGGACGGAGGGAGTATTGAAAAAAACTAGTTGAAACTGAAAAAATAAAAAAAAAAGTGGAAAGAAAATAAAAAAATTATTTAAGTGTATTTTACATATTATTCTTATTCTTATTCTTATTCTTGTTGTTATTATTTACTCCCTCCGTCCCATTTTATAACACCTATTTCGGTTTACGATGTTTAACTGAAATTATTTTCAAATCATTTTATATGACAAATGATATAGAGTTAAAAAATAAAAATTACATAATAAAATACTACATCAAAAGATCTACAAAACTAGTAGTGACAACAATATTTTATTTTATCAAATTGCTAACGAAAATAGAGAAAGAAAGTGAATGAAGTTTGACCCTGTGAATAGTAAACAAGCATTATAATTTGGGACGGAGGGAGTATATTTTTTAACATTATTATTATTATTATACCCGGAGTATTTATAATAGGTCAAAAAATAAAATAATTTATAAACTATATTATGAATATAATAATTATAATACATGAAATATATACAGTATCATTTTTAGTGTCATTATTTGGAGGGTAGAGTAGAAAAAAATTGAAGAAAATAGAAATTGTTGGAAAAAAACTGGAAGGGACTAGAAAAATTGATTGGAAATAATTAGAAGCAAAAAAAGTTAAAAGTTTAAGCTGTAAATAACAAACTCTTTGTATAAAAATTTTAAATCTTAAATTAATACGGAGTAAGACGTAATATCATATTTTTTTAATTAAATCTAACATCATGCTATCGTTTTATAAGTTGCATGAAAATATTGTGCCTCTAAAATATACTAAGCAGTTATCTGTTTACTTAGCACACAATTTCTATTTAGCGTACATTTTCAGTTTTCCACTAAATATGCACGTAGTTTTTTGTTGAAAAATATTTTATTCATCTCAAAATAATTTTTTTTACTTCACAAGAAACTTGACATTTAAATTTTTTTAATTTAAAAAAGAAATATATGTCTCATGATCTTTTATTAATCATCTATGGAGTACTTGTTATACATAAATTTTAAATACACTTCTTTTTTTGAAGGGTTAAACATTCTTCTTAAACTGGCCACCATACTGTACATCAATCTAGGAAGCATCACATATAAGAGATGATTAGTGGCTGGGGCCAGAAGGTTTGGGATCAACAGCATCATCCAAAACAAGTTTAACTCCATTGTTCTTAAGGGCATTGACTATAGCCCAGATCTTGGTGTGGTTCTTGAAACCCTTCTTCTCAAGCTCCTTGTTCACATTGACATGGATTCCACTTCCCCCACCGCCGCCGCCTCCGCCGCCGCCTTGATCAATGCCCTCCACCTTGAGCCGCCTCGCCAACACCTCTCCCACAACTGCAGCCGCCTTGGCGTTGCAGCTCCTCCCACACTCAAACGACTTCTTCAGCGACTGTTCAACGCTGGATGCCATTGCAACCACCCTACCGTTGTTCCTGTCTACCACATTCGCAGTTATGTACTTCAAAGATATGAACAACCTCAACACATACCTCTTCGCCACGACCATACTCGAACCTGCAAATTCAAACATTTAAAGCACTTCTAAAGAAACATTTCCACCTACATTTTCTGCGCATCCCACAAAACACTTATTCTCCACCTAAAAGGTGTAAAATACCCCCAAAATAACTTCTACCCGCAATAAAGAAGAAATGAGGTGTACTTTAGACATTTTAGGCGGGAGTATAAGTCTTTTGTGGGATGTGCAAAAATGAAGGCGCAACTATTTTTTCAAACAGAGGGAGTAATAAAGAGGAGATACACTGCACAAAGTAAAGCTGATGAACCATATAAACAACACAAATGAGTCAATAACATGTTGAAATATATGAACATTGGCCGGGAACTTGAGGTCATGGGGTAACATTAGTGAAAATTTGAATCCAGGGGAAACATGTCAAACATTAAGCAAAATAGGAAAAATTATATGCTAGAGCGTACATCATGGCAAACATGTATTTAAAAATATTTCAGAGTGAACACTATGTCGTTTGAAAATGAACATTACGTTAATGAACAGTCTTGGAATGAACACTACGTTGTTCGTAAATAAATATTATAATTGTAATGAACAAATGTGTGAAAATGAACATTATGTTGCTTCAAAATGAACACTACGTTGATTCAAAATGAACATTTGTCACGTGCACCTAGCTCATATAGGCTCTCGCCAAATAGTGCCCCATAAAATTAAAGATTACATATAGCATGAATCTTTGGAGATCAATTGAAAACCAATTATATTCTTATATATGGTGCAGTGTTGAAGCCATTTGTTTCAGAGCATAAAGGGGGACATTGAAAAAAGTTTCTTAGAGTTGAAAGATAGAGCACATGACTTGGTCTTTTATTATTGGCAAAATCGTACAGATTTTGAACAGAAAATCTTCTTGGCTACTTGAAGGCTTACTCACCAATCCTCCAACTCCAAGGTGATACGAGTAAATATTTCCTAGTTAATACTCATTTTGGTCCCCGTGAGAGAAACCATGAGCCAATTTGGTCCCTGCAAATTTAATTGAGTCAAATTAGTGCCTTTATCTAGAAAATGTGAATCAAACCAAATTTATTTGCTAAAATTTTGAGTTATCACGTTAATTGATGCAAGAGCAATGACCATGTGTATTAATTTTTTTTGTCAATTAACGTGTTAACAAAAATTTTAGTAGAAAAATTTCAGATACAGGACTAATTTGATACACATTTCCTAGTTACAAGTACTAATTTGCTTGAACCGAACTTACCTTTCATTCCTCAAAAGTTCACATAAAGTTTTATGATGAAAATTAACCTAATCACACATTCACAAATCGACAAATTAAAAATTCATATATAACAAATCATAATTGATAAGTCTAAGACAATTAAACATATACAGGGTATTTACCTCGATTAAGAAGGACGAATCTAGCCGCTGGGCAGTGGGAACTTTGAGGAATGAAGAGGTGGATTGCCGGAGTAGAAGAAAAGGAGGCGGAGACCGGGAAGACCGTCACCTGAAAAAGGCTGCTGCCGCACTGGCAGTTGGGCTGCCTGGCTTGTGTGTCGGAGCCGGAGTCGGAGAACGGAACCGGGAAGGTCAAAGATTCGAAGTGGCGTAGAGTGAATAAAGTCGGGCAAGTGGGCAACCCAACATTATGGTATGGTCTATGATCCGATTAGGATGCTCAATATTTCTTATCTCCCACGGCCTTATTTTTTCTAACTACTCCGTAGTATTTGACCCGTGCGACGAACGGGGTCGAACGCATGTTATTTTTAACTCTTAAATGTTTGTTTTAAGTACATAATTAAAAAATGAAGCTAAATATAATAGACAATGTTATAATTTTAATGAATGATACAACACAACAGAGTGATAACTAAATTTAATGCGATATAAAAATTGAAAAGAATGTATAAATGTATCAATTAGATCCAAATTTTTTGGGAAACTTTAGGGTAAACTACACTTTTGATGCAACTGCAAGAGTTACCATTGTCATCTAAAACTAACACTTTCAATCCTTTCTTAGTTTTCACTCGTGAAACTGCAACGTAAAGTTAACCGTGAGATAATGTTTGGTCTTGACTCTTATTGATTGTCGTGCCAGAACAGAAAGATATTGGAAATTGTCTTCTTTGAAACATAAACGGCAATCCAGGATTTGACGGTACCAAATTCATTCTTGGTATGTTAACTTTCTCATTGGCACTGTTTCCGGATACAATAATTGCACTGATAACATTTCTTGGCAACTCTTTAACTATTAACCTTTACAATTACACAATCCAAATGTTTGATCAATGTTTTTTAATTACTCCTTTCTTCAATATGGAGTGAATTCATGTACGCTAGCGATGCCTTATATTCAACTATCTTCATAGACACCCCTTCTATACTATTTACACTTATAGTGAACCACCACTAATAGTCATTACACACCATTAAAGCTATTGTTTGAATGTAGGGAAAATGATAAGAAAGAAAAGAAATGATGAGAACACAAATTTTAAGAAACTTTCTCGTGTTTGGTTGAATGGTTGTGAATGAAAATGGGAGAAATCAATTGGGAAAAAAGTTTTCTCACTTGAGGATATAAGAAAATGGTACCAATGATAATTTATAGTATAATATTTTCTTTCACTATTCTTACCATTTTCGTGTCATCCAAAGAACAATTGTTTTCCTCCTATTTTCTTACCATTTTCTTTTCTCATCATTTTCTTTCTCTTCATTTTCTTATCCCACCATGCTTTATTAAATTTATTTATACATACCCGTTTACTTTTCTCAAAAGTCAAAACATTAATGTTTGAAAACTATTTTATGAATAATGAATACCAAAATAGAAGTCAATTTTAAGAGTTTATTTAAAAAAATGCTATAAAACAATGAGTAAAGTGGGACTTACTTTTTTGAGTAATGATGTGGATTTTTGGATTGTAATAATCTTCGCAGCCTGTTTGAGTGACAATAAAAATAATGAAAAATGAATCAGTTGGAACTATTATATTTACTCCCTCCGTCCAGAAATATTCTTCCTGTGTTGACTTGGCACGCTTATTAAGAAATAGTAAAAAAAAATGCAAAATTTTCAAAAATACACATACTATAAACTTTTAAATCTTCTTTTCTTATTAAAAAAGTACTAAAAAAGTAGATTAGTTATAAAATAGAAGGGTATTATTAAAATTTATCCTTAAAAGTATACTAAAAAAGGAAATGGGAAGAATATTTTCCGACGGACCAAAAAGGAAAATGAGAAGAATATTTCCGGACGGAGGGAGTAAATGGCAACCCTGGCCACAAAAGGTAGCATATATTTTCAAGAAAAAATTACTCCGTAGGATTTTTTATTCTTAAAGAGTATATATTTTATGTAGGAAAAAATTAAAAAAAAAATCATATAAGGCATAAAAACAGGTATACTATCGTCTTAAGATTTACAGTTGCTAATTTTATATGGGACTTCTATGCTAGAATAATTATTCTCTGTGGGTTTAATGAGTTGATAAAAGTAAATATATCAATCCAGAGATCTAAGGCATAGAATAAGAAGGGAATTTTTTTAAAAAAAAATCTGCTACTCAGTGGTTTTAAAAATAGAACAATTAAATGGAAAAATGAAACAGTAGATCAAAAAAAGTGAAAATTAATATGCTAATACTGAAGATAAAAATACGGCCTTGAATTGCAAACAAATCTTTTGATCTACCATCACATATAGTTATACAATGAGTTATCAAGAATATCGAATTGAAGGATCTAATAAGCGTCATATTTTAAAACCAAAGCAAGAACACAATTATAAAGTAAAGAAGATGCACTATAAAACATGCACCTGGATGTTCAACGGTGCGTGGAGTTAAGGTCCAGGAAAACGAAGACAACGGCGGCCGGCGGCGAGGACTGGAGAAGTGATTGGAATTATTGGAATGGAGGAACGGATGAGAGAGGAGCGGCGGGCAATCAGTAAATGAGACAGACCTGTATGCTTTGGAACTGGATCTACAAAATCAATGTTAGGGATTGCCCTGTACTGATACTCCTTACTGTATTTTATACGGAGTACTACGTATTCTGTTTATATATTTTTTATACAGTTTTTGCTTTGGTTTTTTGTTCGATTTTGCTTTCAATGTAGTAATTGTTTTGGCTTTGTTCAATTTTTTCCCTACAGTTTGTATATTTTTCAGTTTTTGCTTTTTGTTCAATTTTTTTATTTTTGATTTTTCTCTGTTAAAAAAATTTCATGGTAAATTATATGCTCCATAATTATTTTGATCAATTTTTTCTTTGCGGTTCAATTTTTGGTTTTTATCTTTCTTTTTGCTAAACTTTTTTTCAAGGTAACTTTTTTTTGTTTTACGTTATTATTATTTGGATTTTGAGCAATCTAAACACAATCTTTTAAAATCCTACATATAATAAAATCTATCCAAATCAACATAGAATTAAAATAATATGTGGAATTTACATAATATATAAATGCTAAATAATCTAATATGATCTTTTAAAATCTAGATATAATATACCCCCATAATAAGTAAATGATTTCTTCTTATTAAATTTAAAATTTTTTAGGCATGCAATTGTCTTCCTTAATGTCGATATAAATCTTTAACGCAAATCTTTATTTTTTTCAATCTCAATAATGATAGTATGACTCTTATCATCAACCATGATTCGACTGCTCTCATCGATGATAATTTATAATTTATACTCCCTCCGTTCCAGAGTATTTGTTCACTTTTATTTTTACACACCATCCAATACATTTTTTTAATCCATTTTATCTTGTAATTTGTATATTAAAAATTTATAGAAATTATATATTAATAATCTATATGTTAAGACAAATCAAACAAGATCACACATGACTATATTTAGGTTTACACATTGAGAGAATTTGATGAGTCAAAGTGATTAGATGAATAGTTTCAAAAGTCAAAAGTGGACGAATATAGCCGAATTTGAGGTATTAAATTATGTATGCACTATATTCTCCTTGCATCGCACCTGATAAAAGCGTGTGATTTGTACCAGGAGAATTTCAGACGGAGTATTGTCTTTGGTTGACTTCAAATTGGGGTTTTGCGTATAATCCAAATCACATTTATCCGACCGGCATTTTTTCGCAATTTGTTTGGTTCCTGAAAGAGATTGCCTCCAGATTAAAAATTCTTGGTTTGGGTTTGGAGAAGAAGATAAAGATTCCTTTCTGGTTCAGAAAAGATTCAAATTTTACAGTACTCGTTTCTTGGGTAAGTCCTTTTCTGGATTGCAAAGCTTAAAGGCCACCAGAGAATCTTTCTTGGGTCAGCCCTTACATTTCTTCCTCTGATCGGTGTTCTCATTTGCTGTATAATCTTCTCTTTGAGGGAAGTAAACCTTGAACACAATAACATGACATTTAGCTTTTTGTAATTGAATTTGGTCCCCATTGTTCTTCTGAGAATTGCTATCTACTCCGCACTTTTTAAAATTTGTACCCTTTGTTCATTGATGGCTTTGTGTTTTGGTGTGTTATACTGCTGCTTCTTATTTGAATTCACTTTTGGTTTCATTCTGCTTGTTAGGCTTGTGGTTTTGATCTGTAGTACCAACACGAAATTGATCCGGAACTCACAAGTTTGAAAAGTTTCAAAGGGTAAAATACAAAATTCCATTCTTAAAGATGGTTTTCATGGGTGTTCCTGGATTTGGAAAATGGTGCCTTATGCTCCATAGTTTGCAGGTTAAGTTATATGTGATCATGAGACGGTAATTTATTATTAAAAAAATGGGTTGGCTGAGCAAAATCTTTAAAGGCTCTAATCACAAGGTTTCGGAAGGACAATATGATCTCCGTTATGATGCACACAAAGAGGAAAATCATCCATCAACTTCAGGGGTACACATTGCAAGTGTTGAATAGATTAATTGATTGGGATCTTAACTAGTGTGCCTAATCATATTGTCAGTTCCCTAACCCTCTTTTACATTCCAGGACCCCTGGTCAGAGATTGAAGACACAGACCATGCTATTGCATTGTCCCTTTCGGTAGATAACCTAAAGGGAAGAGATGTACTGGGTTAGTGCAATTTGGATTATCTCATCATAATGAGTCTTGTATGGAAAAAAAACAAACCATCTCATACACTACACAAGATGTTTAATTTTCTTTATAGTTCTTTTATTGGACATGTGGACATAAGGTTCATTGTAATGGTCTATGTGGTTTTTTTCCTCAAATAAGGCTTACTTTCTCTATTCAGATTTAGTTGTACACTTTACACATTCAATAAAGAAATTACGATTATTTGTCTAAAATGTCCTAGTGATAGAGTATGAGCATTGTTGACAAACTCAATTGAAGCACTTATTTGACATTTTATCTCATTTCTTAAAGTTGAGATTTTTTAGAAAGTAGACTACTAAATCCGGGCAAAGGGAGTATTTTAATTTTCCCTGTTGTTGATTCAATGAGAATTTGAATGTTGGGCAGATAGTGAAAAACAATTAAATGAAGACGAACAGCTTGCCAGAGCTCTTCAGGAGAGCTGGAATCTCAATCCCTCACCATGGAAAGGAAACACAAAAGACACTGGCCATGGAGATAGATATGGAAATGGGCACTTTTATCAACCTATACCTTTCTCCAATGCAATAAGTTTCAGGTTTGTTTGCCAAATGATCTTATATGTCACAATTTTCTCCCCTTTGAGCTCTATTTATGTTATAAAACCAAATACTCCTAAAGCGGCTATGGGTCTCATCGTTTTTCTAGAGCTCCTCCACCTATTGCAGATTTCCAGGGGAGGCTAAGTTATATCTTGATATATAGAATGTTTCTAAAAAATGAATAAGATGTGTTTGAAATCTTTCAACTTTTATAATATCTCAAGTATAAATTAAAATGTAAACTAAGCCTTCCAAACCCCTCCTTGCAAATAGACTTTTAGTGTCTTAATAATTAATATATTATATACATATTAAGGAGAAAAGTTTCTCACTGTGGTAGGATATGTGCTGGGTGCAACAAAGAGATCGGCCACGGGCGATTCTTGAACTGTATGAGTGCTTTCTGGCATCCAGAGTGTTTTAGGTGCCATAGATGCAAACAACCAATATCTGATTATGAGGTATGGAATCATTTGAAAAATTGGAAAATGTAAGGAAAGAGAATAGAGACGAAAACATATGTAAAATTTGAAAGGAAAGAACATACAGGGGTGAATTCAAAAGCAAAGTAAATAGAGGAATATTTAGGGGAAATCAGTAGAAATGAAAGTCTGGTTTATGAACCATCTGTCTCAAACATTGCATGCAATTCCATAGGATGCTTTAATGTAATGATCCATATTTGTGCAATAATAAATCATAAAATTGGAGCCTCTTAGCTTAAAAGATTGTTTACATAGGTGCACTGTAAACAAGTACCCTTCTTTATAACTTTCTGCATTCCTTTTTTCTTCCTTTCCAGTTTTCTATGTCTGAGAGTCTTCCATATCACAAAACCTGCTACAAGGAGCATTACCATCCAAAGTGTGATGTATGCAAAAGCTTTGTAAGTATAAGCATTAGCAATTTTCGTTACACTATTTCACGGTTAGAGTTTTTTTCCCGTTTAAACCCATAAAAATGGCTACTCCTTTGACCCCTGCAGATCCCAACCAATGCAGCAGGTCTTATTGAATATCGTGCACACCCTTTTTGGTCCCAAAAGTACTGCCCGTTTCATGAGCGTGATGGAACCCCTCGATGCTGTAGCTGTGAGCGAATGGAGGTATCCAAAATAGAAAATTATGATCAAATTTTTTAATCAAATTTTATTTTCCTTTACATTTTCCGAGGTAAAGTCACACATGAAAATCTAATTTCCATAGTATGGTTTTTCCCTTTTCCTATTGTTTTCCGAGTTCCTATCATAGCTTACATGCATCATCTTTTCACGGAAAACTCCGCTATTTTAGTTTATTTGCACATTTGAACCAACCTTTGTTTCTTCAATTGAATGCAGCCACATGAAACAAAATATGTTGCCTTAGATGATGGCAGGAAACTATGTTTGGAGTGTTTGGATTGTTCCATTACGGACACCAACCAGTGCCAGCCCCTTTATCTTGACGTACAAAAATTCTACGAAGGGCTGAATATGAAACTGCATCAGGAAGTCCCATTGCTCTTGGTTGAGAGACAGGCATTGAATGAAGCCATGGATGGAGGGAAACATGTAAAAATAATACTTTCAAACCAACAAAAATGACCCTTTTCTCCTTCTTAGAAAACCAAGGAAGCGCTAACTTTTTGAGGTTTTTTCAGGGTCATCATCACATGCCTGAGACTAGAGGCCTATGCCTTTCTGAAGAAAGAACAATCAGCACTGTAATGACATGTTTTCCATTTTAATCTTACTTTCCCTATATCCGAGGAGTATTATCTTAAGTGGATTAAGATAATGTCTTTTATGCTGCAATTTCTAGACTTTGCGTCGGCCAAGGATAGGGGCTGGAAATCGTACCATAGAGATGAGAACAGAACCCTATAGATTAAGACGCCACTGTGAAGTGACAGCAATTTTAATCTTATCTGGTCTTCCTAGGTATTGTCACCTGAATATTTTTCATTTAAGTATAATTCATTAAAAAAAAGTAAAAACATTTTTTTTTCTCTGGAGGAGAAATTGACATTGATAAATGACCTGGAATGCAGGTTATTGACAGGATCCATTTTAGCTCATGAGATGATGCATGCTTGGCTTCGACTTAAAGGTAGTTTTTTTTTTGTTTTTGGTAAAAATTGAAGAAACAACATAACATAACATTGAAGAAACAACCATTTCAGCTTTGCTCTTTCTTTAGAGCATGCATGGCTTCTCACATTACCCTTGCATTTTCTTGAAAGGCTATCAAACTCTTAGCCAAGACGTCGAAGAAGGCATATGTCAGGTGTTGGCTCACATGTGGTTGGAATCACAAATCAAGTCAATGTCAAAAGTCAACAGGGCATCGTCATCTTCATCATCCGGACCATCATTGACCAGACCGCAATTTGAGTTGAAACTCGGGGAGTTCTTCAAACACCAGATTGAATCGGACACGTCTCTGGTATATGGAAATGGTTATAGAAGTGGTAACCAGGCAGTACTCAAGTATGGGTTGGAGAGGACTTTGGAACATATTCGGATGACGGGTACCTTTCCCTGTTGAAGGTGATCTGATTTATTTATTTTTCCTTTTTAACATAGTCAAGTGAAACTTGAGTCTGTTCATATTAGCTTTTCCTGGACTATGCCACCATGACCCCGCATTAGATCCTCGGAGCCATTCTTTAATTTTATTGTAGATTTTTCTGCCACGCACGGTCGGAAAAGAGGACATATACAAGAACAAAAATTATTTTTTTTCCTTTTCAAACATTATAGTTTAAGAAAAAATCATTTACATGGTTGAAATGATTGGTTTTTTTTGTTGATGAGCATTTTACTAACCTCAGCATGAGTTGTTGATGACAATGTTCTTCCCCTTTACACACATTGGGATATGCACTTGATTTGAACTGAACTTCTAAAACTTTGTTTTTCAAAGGTGCCATGGTTCCTTCGAAAACAGGGACAGAGCGGAATGGGTCATTTGGTAAAATATGTTGGGTCGATTCCAAAAGTTTAGTGGGTATTGGATCCATTCCGGCCCGTTTTAAAGTGTACGTTGTTAATAGAATTATAAGTCTACGTTAAGCTTTTTTCATTTCAAAGTATTCGTCGTGTTTGATATTTAAATAGATAAAGATGTAGTAAAACAAAAAATAAGAAAAATATGACCAAATTACAATTGAATGTGGAGAGGGGTAGACCACCCTTTAGAAGTAGGGGCCATGGCCCCCAACTAATTTTCGAATCTCGGGTAATTTTTTTTAAACTTTTTAAATCTATGTTGTCCCCCAATTAAAATTGAAGGGACCCAACAAAAGTGTGTTTAATTTCATATAATTAATTGTTTATACGGATATATTTGATATTGGATGAATATTTGACGGATGTAAATATAGTACGGAGTATTTATTTATTTTAAAGAGCTGCTAAGATTCATATTCGAATTTGATATATAATAAATTTAAACAGATAAAATATAGAAAAATTTGTACTATATAAGACTAAAATATAAGTCATTTCTCAATGTAGGACTTAAACTTTTTTATTCCATAAATAGGACTTAATAATGTCTAGTGAGAGGAATAATGTCGAGTGATGGTGAATATTTACTTGAATAATGAGTAATGGATAATAACTAATGATCATACATTAGAAAATAAAAACATGTGGTCCTAAATTTAGAAAGTTATTATGTTTTAGTCCTATTTTAGTAAATTTCTTTAAAATATATGGAAACTACATTGAAAATTTGTAATGCTCCGTATCTATGAAGATTGTAACAGAGTGCATATTATCTTTAAAAAAAACAAAAATCCTACACGGTCTTTAATTCTGTGTTCTAATCAGGTTCATTGCATCTAGACGCAGTTCAGCTCCAAAAACAATTCCTCATCAAATATCAAATGCTTGGTTCTTACCCATGGTGCCTCACATTCGTTGTATATAGACACTCCAATCTTTTCACAAATAACCCATACAAAATCTAATGTTCTTTAGGAGTTCTTTAGGAGTATATCATAACATACACACTGTACACATATATACGTTTTTTATATATCGAGGTCAAAGTTTATAAATTTGATCAAGAAAAATCATGTGTGAAAAAATTAAAGGACAGTATAATATTGTTAAGGGTACTATCCCTTTATTGATGTTTAGTTTATATGTAAACCTTTTTTAGAGTACAACTAGATTAGTGTTAATGAGAATAATAAAACCAGTCCAAATATGTATAGTGAGTTAGCAAGTCATGTTTAGCAAGTATGGTTGGAGATGTTTTTAAGCCTTGCTTTTAAAGAAGGCAAGTTTAATCAAGTGTTCATAATTAGTTTTTTTTCGATTTGATTTTTTACAATCTTTAGTGTTATACTTTGACTTTTAATATTTATAATAATTATACATACATTAACAAATGTTATGATTCTTCAAAATTACATAATTTTAAGAGAAATCAAATAACCGATATTAAGTTTATACATTCAATATATTCTTTTTTAGGATGGAGCTGATGGAGTAAATTTTGTGATTAAAATTAATTATGCTGATATAAGAATACTCTAATCTTATAAATAATCAATTCTTCAATTTAGAAAAATAAGAAACTCCCTCTGTCCAATTTGATTTTTTTCAAGTCAAATTAGATAAACTTTGAGTTTCAATTAAATAAAAATTGTAATGTATTTTAGCATAAAAATTATTTTATTAGATTATCTTATTGATGGGAGCTTTCACAATTTTAAATTATTATACTAATACTCCGTATTCAATACAAATTAAGAATAGTTCAAGTTCAAAGTTTGTTTTTACTCAAAAAAATTAAAATGGACAAAAACAGTATGAAGAAAGAATACAGAGTATAATGACCTAGTGGAAGGAATAAAACATAATGACTTTCCTAATGTAGGACTTAAACTTTTTTATTCCTTAAATAGGACTTAATAATGACCTAGTGGAAGGAATAATGTCCAGTAATGATGGACATGTAGTTGAATAATGACTACTTGATAATGACCAAAGGTCCTACATTGGGAAATAAAAACATATGGTCCTATATTGGGAAAGTCATTATATTTTAGTTCTATTTAGGTAAATTTCTCATTAGATTATTGGTTATAAAATTAAATGAGTAGTAAAAAATAAGCATCATGCATGCACAGTATAGGTACGTTGTCCAATAGAATTAAATTATTTGTATACAAAAAAATGTACCCCGAAGGCATTCACAAATATTTTGTACTAGTGTGATACTAGTGTGATGGTTTACACAGCTACAATATGTCTGTAATTTTTTTGATTAAACTAACATTTTGTGTCAGTGTGAATCATTAAAATGCCTGTGCAACCCTTTGAAGTACAATTTGGGGCATAATTTTTTGTGTAGCGGTAGCATGCTTGTGTCCAAATGTCCAATATGCATTGCTCGATGGTAACCATCCACAATCCACACTATGTCGCCATTTCCGGTACATGCCCAGAAACTAATAAAACTAATAAGTGTTCTTTCGTTATACGTAGTAAAAGATTATTTCAATTTAATTTTTTTGGTCAAATTATAGCAACTTTTGACTATGAATTATGGAAAAAGTATATTTAATTATAATATAGATCTAGTAAGATTGAGTTTATTTTAAAATATAGTTTTGAAATACAGGGCCGCCGCCGGACCTAAGGGAGGTTGGAGCAGGCGATAGCCCCAAGCTCCCTAAATTTAAGATACCTCAAATATTTTAGACGTTGTGTTATGAGTAGTCTAGAAATGAATTTTTTAGTCCAAAAAATATTTTTTACTCATACTTGTTCATATTTGCAGATAGAAAACTATTGTACAAAATTACTACTAATTCTCTGTTCACACATTTGAATGTCAAGTTACCGACGCAAATCTCAACTAGTGTCACTTAGGGTACTTTAATCTTTTTTGTTTATATTTTTTCTTTTAATACAAATATTTATTGTTTTAATTATTGCATTTTAAATTTAATAGAAAATGTATTTTAACTTTTAGCTAGTAATTCTAATTGATAAGACCTAATTTTTTCTTTGCTCCGAGCCTAAAAAATCTTAAGAACGGGCATGCCTCTACATGCATACCCGGAGTAAATCAAAACTACAAGTTTCATCTTTTGTTAAACTTTAGAAGTTTAAAAAAGAGTAATTTACCTAAATATAACTAAAACATAATGACTTTTCGATATAGGACCATATGTTTTTATTTCCTAATGTAGGACCATTGGTCATTATTCATTAGTCATTATTCAACTAAATATCCATCATCACTTGGACGTTATTCTTCTCACTAGACATTGTTAAGTCATATTTAATAACTGAATAAAAAAATTTAAGTCCTACATTGGGAAATGACTTATTTTTTAGTCATATTCAATACAAATTTACTTTCAAAAAAGTTTAAAAAATAGACAAACCAAAAAATAATGGTTGGACGAAGACGTGTACCTTTAATTTGTTTGTCAAACCATAGTTTTAAAAACCAGATCGGACCAGCTGGTTCGGACCGGGAACCGGCGAACCGGAGGTCGAACCGGTCCGGTCCGACCCTTTGAACTGCTTCGTGCATTGAACCAATGCAAACCAGTGTGAACCGGTAAGAATCGGCCGGTTCACCCGGTCGGACCAATTTTTTTTTTTTTTTTTTTTGCAAATTTGGCCAAAATGTTTATTCCTCTACTAAGGTTCGAACCCTTGATCTATGAATTGTTATACAATGCCATCAACCAAGCAAGCAAGAAGGTTTTTTGTTACATGGTGGTTCTAAATAGTATATATTCCTTAATTAAAAAAGTAAGTATGAATTAAAAGATTTCTTTATTTCTTACTAAGATTCTTAACATTTAAAAATAGAAACAATTCTAATACGGAGTACGTATCACAAAAAAAGTTCATTTTAATATTTTGGATATTAGACAAAATATATAAAGAAAAATAGAATGTCAGTATTTTATAAAACTTTTAATATACTTCTCGATACGTAAATTTTATTTTAAATATAAATTGACTAACAAAATAAGTTAGAGTGATTAAAATTTCAATCAAATATCATAAAATTTTGTGTACATATAAAAGAAGTTATTTTTATTTTATACAAAATACGTGTGTGTGTGTGTGTGTATATATATATATATATATAATATATATATATATAATATGTTTAAACCACCGGTTCGACCATCTGAACCACTGGTTCAACTAATGAACAAGTGAACCAGTACCTGGACCGGTTCGGTCCCCGGTCCGGTCCGGTTTTTAAAACTATGTGTCAAACAATATATAGCTAGGGCATGCATTATTAATACTTCGTACGGAACAATAATTAAAGTTTATTGAATTGTCTTGTACCTACGTGCAGATGTTTTGATGATTTGGAAAACAGAAAATCATAATTGATCGGGCATGTTTGCTTAAAATATGTTATTTCAAAATAATCTTATTGATATCAAATTTACTTCCCCCTTCCCTGAGTGTTTTTCTACTTTCATTTTTGCACACCATCCAATGCACTTCTTTAATCCATTTTATCTTGTAATTTGTATATTAAAAAATTATAAAAATTATATATTAATAATCTATATGTTAAGACGAATCAAACAAGATCACACATGACTATTTTTAGGCTTACACATTGAGAGAATTTGATGAGTCAAACTGCTTAGATGAACAGTTCCAAAAGTCAAAAGTGGACAAACACTCAGGGACGGACCAAGTATATCATATAATATTTCAATATCTTATTTCAGTAATTTGTGGTTAATATTTAAAAAATTAACTACAACAATCTAATTAAGAAGAAAAATATGAGACGGATAAAGTTTTTTTGGGGGAAAATTGTGATAAACAAAAAAAAGAAATACGGAGTAGCAAGTATGAAATTCTTTTTTGAGATAGAAAAGGTATATGCTCGGCAAAGCATATGACATATAGAGCCATATAAGAATATACTCCCTCCATCCCCAATTTGATTACAAATTGCGGGTTACGGAGTAAAATTTTCTACTTTTTGAAATCATTTTATTTACAAATTGATATATCAATAAGATATAAAAATTACATATTAAAAAATTACGTCAAAAATTCTACAAAACAAGAGCTGACAAGAATATATTTTATTTTATCAAATACTTAATGAAATCGCGTAAACAAACAAAAGTTATCGAGTGGAGAAAAAAAATTGTAATCTATTTAGGAACGGAGGGAATATTATATTGATCAGAATATGCTTTAAAGCTACTACATCATCCCAATTTGTTGTATGTGCTCGTTTTATTATGGTACAAATAAATTATTCTATAATAAATAGATATGATAAATAAAATAAAAATCAGTGGATGTAAAAGTGTTTTTTAATCAATAGTAGAAACGTGTTTTAGGACAAGTTTTTAAGATGAGTAAGTAGTGAAAAATGTTTTATGAGACAAAGAGGGTAACTTTTAAATATATACTGGTAACTTTTTTTAATTTGAAATATTTGCACTAAATAACAGTGAAACTTAAATCATTTCTCTAAACAACACTTAAATTGTTTTATTTTCTAAATAGCACTTAATAATGTCCATAATGTCTTGTGATAGCGAATATTTACTTGAATAATGACTAATGCATAATAACTAAAAGTGCTACATTGGGAAGAAAAATACATGTGGTGCTATTTAGAGAAAGTCATTATGTTTTAGTTCTATTTAAGTAAATTCATCTTTTTAATTTGTACAGAGTATAATTGCTACTCCCTCCGTTCTCTAAAACTCTTCCTCTTTCATTTACTCCCTCAGTCCCTCCGTCCCCAATTTGATTACAAATTAAGGGTTACGGAGTAAAATTTCTTACTTTTTGAAATCATTTTATTTACAAATTGGTATATCAATAAGTTATAAAAATTACATATTAAAAAACTAAGTCAAAAATTCTACAAAACAAGAGGTGACAAGAATATTTTATTTTATCAAATACTTGATGAAATAGCATAAACAAACAAAAGTTATCGAGAGGAGAGAGAAAAAAAGATTGTAATCTATTTAGGGACGGAGGGAGTATTTTACTTCCAACAAAACATTTCCACTTTCTATTAAAAAACCACTTTTACCCTTACTTTTTCATACCCTAACTATCACATCATACTTTTTTCTCTAATACTCAATCCATCACATCTTACTTTTATCCATCACATCAAGGGCAAAATTGGAAGTCAACTACTCCCTCCGTCCCAAAAAGTCTTTCCTGTTTCATATTTTGCGCATCCCATAAAACACTTCTATCCCGCCTTGAATGCCAAAAAATCTTTCAAAATAACTTCTACCCACAATAAAGAAGAAATGTTGTAAATTTTAGGCATTTTAGTTGTCGGTAGAAGTGTTTTATGGGATTCGCAAAAAATGAAACAGAAAAGACTTTTTGGGACGGAGGAAGTACAATTTAACACTTCCTTATATTTACACAAAGTCAAAATAGGAACACTTTTATAGAACGGAGGGAGTAGAATTTAGGATGAGTTAAAGATAATTGGGTTGGGTAATAAGACACTTAGGCTAGACCACATTAAAAGATTGAATCCAATCAATTACTTAGTTCAACTTAAGATTTTATATACTGATTACTTTTCTATTCAACTTCCGATGTGAGATAGACTCTTACACTCTTCCTCGATTGAACAACCGGTCCATTTTGAATCTAACTGATAAAAGGTCAAAATTAGACAAATATTCTAAAAGAGAAGCAATAATTACTAAATGTAAAAATGAGATTACAATTGAAAAAGAAGTGGTTTTTGACTTTTTGTAGTAAATGAAAAACGAAAGTGTTCAAATACAATCCTATTTTTATCCAAAGTGAAAACAAAACCAGATAGTGAGGCTCTCTGGTCTTCAACTACAAAAAGCTAGCTAGATTTCATCATATTTCTCGCTTCTTTCTTCTTCCTTCTCCTTTTTTCTATCTTCTTCTTAATTCTTCTTCTTCTTCACATTAATTACTGCACAAGACTAAAATAATATGGGAACTAATAAATTACATTATTATCAGTTGGGTTCTTCTTCTTCTTCTTCTTATGATAATTACAATAATAATAATAATTGTGGAGTGGAAAAGAGAGCAGCAGGTGGTCATTGCTGTGTGAGTGTGTGGGTGGAGAAGTACTTCAAGGACTGCCTGTGCAGCCTTAAAGATGAAGTCTCTTTTGGTTTGGGAATCATTAGTCTAATCTGTTGGGGCTTAGCTGAAATCCCACAGATCCTTACCAACTTCCACAACAAATCCGCCGCCGGTCTCTCCCTCTCTTTTCTCCTCACTTGGATCCTCGGGTAATTCCGCCGCCCCCACCACCGCCTGCCTCTGCGGCGGCGCCATATCTTATACTCTTTGTGTCCTTACAAATTGTCACAGTTTGACTTTTTTTGTTAAACTATGACATCATTTGATCACGAATTAAATATAGTTTAAAATAATTAAATATTATGAAAATTTGATATTTCAAAACTATATTTAAAATGAACTCATTTTTAATTTACTAAATCTACATTATAACTAAATATATTTTTCTCATAATTTTCTCATAAAGAGTGTCACAATTTAACCAAAAATGTCAAACTGTAACAATTTTTAGGAATACATATATTTATATCTACATATACATACCAATCAACTGAAACTGAATTGAACCGTACGTACATAATTATGTTCGCAGAGATATATTTAATCTCGTTGGTTGCATTCTTGACCCTGCTACTGTAAGTGCGATAATTAACTCCCATGTTATGGGTCCTTCTCTTTGGAATTTTTTATGGATTTTACTAATAATTAACCATTGTTTTTTCCTTAAAATTATTTTTAATTTGGGATGCCAAACGCATGTACGATGCAGCTTCCAACACAGTTCTTTACAGCTCTGGTACAGTAATTAATTAAATCAATCCTTATTTAATTTGTGATAATGTTCTTTGCAAATACACAATATTTATACACACACACACTTGGGGGGTAACAATAACAAATCTAATTAAAATTTTTCCAGTTGTACACTGTAACAACTGTGGCACTGTTGTTGCAGTGCATATATTATGAGCATTTCCTTTGTTGGTGGCACAACAAAAGTGGGCGTCTGGACAAGAACAATTTACCCAATGTGCAGGTATCATACACGCACATATGTACATCAACGTTTTAGATTATTTATTAACGGTTAGATTAATTTTTGAAACGTAGAGGAATTAATGTCAAAATTGGTTGTGTATGTATATGACAAAGTTATTAATAACAATTGGGATTACTGTCACATTATTATTATAATTCAATTTAGGTAAATGTTGAAGAAGAGGAAAAAGAGTGGTTGTTGCAAGCATCCAATTCCAAGACAGGGCATCATCAGTTCATCCCCGGTGGTGGGTCAAATAATGGTGTTGTTAGGGTACCCACGACGCAGAAGAGCCAGAGACATTTTTATTTTATGTAAGTAACGTTTTTTTTTTTGGTGTCGAAAATAGTGTCACAAATGCGGTGCTCTTAGAACGTACTCCCTCCGTTCTTGAAAATACTTTCGCTCTAATTTTTTGTACACCTAATAAAATACTTTTATTTCCACTTAAAGTGTCAAAAATACATCTCATTATCTAGTTTATTGGAGGTAGAAGTTGTTTTGAAGGTATTTTAGACAATTTAGGTAGAATAAAAGTATTTTATGGGGTGCGTAAAAATTAGGGCGTAAATGTTTTCAAGAACGGAAGGAGTATTGCTGATGTATACGAAAATATAAAAATGGTGTATGTACGACGACGTTTCAGGTCAGCAAGGACATTGGCAAGTAGTGATACTCCACCAAGGTGCTCCTACATAAAGCCAAGAAGCGGTCCTCCTGCCCTACACAACCCTTATTCCTCTTCCGACGACGAAGGCGAAGAACAACCCATCGCCCCTGCTACCGCCGCCGCCATTACCCAACCAAGATCCATCCCTCCTGTACGTACGTATAATTAACAATATGTTTCGTTCAAGAAAATTTGGAAGGAAAAGAAAGAAATGGTTTTCCTTCCGTTTCCTAGCCAAAATGAGAGGAATTTGGTTTTCCATCCTCTTACTATATTTGCCAAATAAGAAAAATGATTGCCTTCTCATGTTCTTTTCCTTTCCCTCTCAAATTCCTTAAACCAAACATAGTGTAAAGATATTAGCAATTAAATGTGAAAACTCATGAACCAGATTAAACGATTAAAAGATTTGAGCTGAATCATACTCCCTCCGTCCCATGAAACCTTTTTCCTTTCTTTTTTTATCCGTCCCACAAAACACTTCTCATTTCTATTAAAAAGTCACTTTTACCCCCTTACTTTTTCATACCCTAACTATCACATCATACCTTTTTACTAATAATCTATCCATCAAATCATACTTTTACCCATCACATCAAAGGACATTTTTGGAAATTCAATACCAAAATATACTCTCCTTAAATCCCTCCTAAAAAGCAAAAGTCTCATGTTTCATGGGATGGAGGGAGTATTTAAATATTGAAAACTCGGAGGCGCTTGGAATAATTAAACTTTAAGATAAACATCATCTTGACGAAATAGATCGGAGAAGAGCTACTGATCTGATGCCATAGGACTTCAGAGTCACTAGTTTGAGTCATAAAACACTTGAGTTAAACCATATTTTAAAAAAACTCAATTTTAATTGATTAGTTAGTCTAACTCAAAAGTTTAACTTTCTTTTCAAAGTTTACATGTAAATATGTGCAGAGAGCCTATGGAGCTTTTCTGGCAGCAGCAGCAGCCTATAGTCCGGTGGGAGGCAAGGCGGCCGCCGCTCTGGAACATGTCACTGCCGCCGGCCGGACGCATGATGCAATTGGCGCGAACAGTAATGTTGGACAATGGCTGGGATGGCTGATGGCTGCTATCTACATGGGAGGGAGAATCCCTCAGATTTGGCTTAATGCAAGTACTCCTCTTTTTTTTTCTTTTCCTAAATTAAATTTGCATTGTGATAATGTGACGCAGTATATAGACATTTTACTATACTTTTTAGTAATTTACATGGTCATTACTACCAATCGAGGGATCCCTCAATTACATATTATTGGTCTATTATAATTTTTTAGATATATTAAAAAAAATGAAAGATTCTAGAAATAGAATGTCTCTATTAATACATTTTTGATGCATCTAAAAGTAATAAAGAACAACTAATATAGAATGTTTTTATGTATGTTGTGCGAGGCCAGATGAAGCGAGGGAGTTTTGAGGTACGCATCAATATAATTACACGCGCGCGCACACACACATTACTTACGGAGTTATGGATTATTATTAATTTGTGGTGATATTTACTTAATTTGAATCCTTATATATGATTGTCATTTTAGGGACTAAATCCTCTCATGTTCATCTTCGTTCTTGTAGCCAATGCCACATATTTTGCAAGGTACTCATTTATTAATTCCGGATCAATATAAAATCTCTTGCCATTATATAAAATAACTCCTTCATTTGTTTTTTTAATTGTCTACTTTTATTCTTCAGAGTGGCTATATACTTTGTTTAAGATTATATAATGAATTAAAATATGAAAATTATGCCAAAATATTATTTCTTACTCAATAAAATTTAATTTTAGTGATCCAGCCGTCTCAAAAATAAATTTTACGTTTCACTTGACAAGTTTGAGAGAATTCTTGAGTATTAAAAAGTGCATGATTGCCATTTATTTAATGATTGAAAAAGAAAAATTGTGAGGCATGTTTTTCATTCTTTAACAAGAAAATAGAAATTTGAAATTTATTCTGAGACGGAGACGGGATATTACTTCCTCCTTTCCTAATCGTTTTGTCCACTTTGATTTCGGCACAAAGACTAATGACTTAGGGGAATAAAAAGACCAAGTTGCCATTGGATGAATAAGTTCAGAGTATTAAATTTGAAAAATTAGCGATAAAATAGTAATGTTAGCATATATATATTTCTTTATTATATGTAGGGAGTGAAAAAACTGATAGATTAGAACAACCCAAAAAGAAAAAATGAACAAACTCATTGGGACAGAGGGAGTATATTTTTTAAAAAAACAAAAGTATTGGAGATAATATAATTAAGAACGTTCTTAGTGGTACTTAAAGTGAAAACAGACAGATATCCATGTATGATTGAAAATTTTGAGACATAGTGGAAATGGCCGCCGCAGTATATTGGTGAGAAGCATGGAATGGGAGAAAATAAACGCAAACATGGCGTGGCTGGTTGATGCTGTTGCGTGTGTCGTCCTCGACCTCTTTGTATCCTCTCTACTGATCTCTCCAATTATTCTTTTCTTTACTATATAATCACATACTATATATCATCTTTGCATGCATATATATATATATATATATATATATATATATATATATATATATATATATATATATATATATATATATATACATTCTTGACTCACCATTTCCAATTAACATCATCAATAGATCATTCTCCAATACCTTTATTATACCCGGGGCACGAAGACCAAGACGACGAAGAAGATGAAGATGGAAACGCCAAAAGTTTGAGCATGACTTTCATTGTTTTTGCATTAATTCTTGCTTTCAGCTTTTGTTTCAACATTCTTTAATTAAATAAGTACATTTAGTTTCTCCTTAAGGGGCTGTTTGTTTCGTTGGAGGCTAGACAGACCTTCACAAGAAGAGACGATCAAATGATGCAATGGTTGAAGTAAATTCGCAATTTTCGACTACGTTTCGTTACATTATAACATCACATTTCAACGCGGTTAACCAAACGACTTTAAAATTATGCAACAAAACAAAACAAAGAGAGCAAAGATTTGTGTTTTTTTGTTTCCCCATTGCTCTGTTCTGAAGGCCTTTGGCCAAATCCATTAGAGCAATTGATTTCTCTGTAAAAAGTCAACAAATCTCCCTCTCCCCCGTCATGGCCTTCTTCTTTCTTCTTGATTGTGCCAAAGAGGAGAGAAAATGACAGACACACAAAGGCTGCTACAACAACAACAACAACATTGTTCTTCTTCTACACACACAATGCATGGGACACTTCGTGCCCACATCACCATTTTCACCCCTACCCTAAAACCTGGTTAAACCCTCATCTTTTCCTCCTATTCACTCCCTAATACAGACCCACCATTACAATTTTCAATGACAATAATCATAACCAAACAACAACAAAAGAAGAAGAAGAAGAAGAAGAAGAAGAAGGATTCATACCACTACTGCTACTACAATTTACATAAACTCGTCATCCCACCCGGTGCATACGCCTTCCCCCTCGCCATCACTGCTAAACAGCGTCTGGTCTGAGCAGTCAAGAGACGCCCCGCATGCCGAGTTGTAGGCCTGGCAGGCCGAGTGGCAAACCCTTAGCCTGTTGTCCCCATCCTTGTCACACTTTTGGATTGAGATCTGATAAAATAATATAGTCATGGTTTATACTTTGTAAGCCTGTGAAAAGGTTCACAATTTCTTGAGCGAAATATTTTTTTATACTTCCTCTGTTCCTAAAAGATTCTCCCCTTTAATTTTCTGTTGTCCCCAAATGATGTTCTCTTATCTATTAAAAAATCACTTTTACCCCTTACCTTTTTCATACCCTATCTATCACATCATACCTTTTTACTAATAATCTATCCATCACATCTTACTTTTATCCATCATATCAAGGGTATTTTTGGAAAGTCCACACAAAAATATCCCTTCCTTAATTTCCCAAAAAGTCAATAAGGGAGACCCTTTCAGAGACGGAGGAAGTAAATTTTTTTTAATTTAAAAAGGGTGGAAAATAAACTGACCCAGCACGCCAAGCGCTTAGCGGCACCATCGCAGTCACGGCCTCGGATGAGGTTAAGTATCTTGCGGGGCCCGGCGGGGAAGAGCCTGTGGTAATTGGGCATCACAACAACTTCTTCAAGCTGCTGCAAGATGCTCAACTCACTGGGAGCGCAGTGTTTCCAGGCGGCGTCCTTCCTCAGCACGTCTTTGCAGACCGAGAGGCTGGGAAGGAGCGCCGTGCTGTTCTGGCAAGTGTAGCCGGCGTAGTCCGAGCACCGGAACTCGCAGACTCCGTTGTCGCACACGCCGCCGTGAAGGCTGCACTGTTCATCGCATATCGCTGCAAAAAGACCAGAAACACCTTTTCTCATGTTGAATTTTCTTGAATGAGTTGAAAAAATATATTTTTATCTGAGAGGAAATGGAATAATTACCTGTGGAACAATCAATGCCGGTGTACCTAATATCACACTCACAAACACCGTTTCTTAGGCACTTGCCGTGGTCACTACAACCGTTGGGGCAGGAACCTGCCCATAGAAAGCAGCAGTTCAAGAACCTCATGAAATGCAATTATCATAAAATGTAGGGGCCAAAGTAGAATTTTTTTTAAATAAAATGCACAAAGCAGCTCACGTTTACTACAATCATGTCCCTCAAATCCAAGAAAGCAGTGGCATTTCCCGTCAATGCAATCCCCGTTGTAATTGCATGAAGCTGGGCAACGGTCGGATACTGGAAACGGGTTTTCATGGCAAAGCTCATGATAAGCAGGGCAGATCAGCTCACCTACATTTTTACAAGGATACTGTGATTGCAACATAGAAAGAAATTATAACAAAAGATGATCCGAAACAATGAAAACTCTATTCCAGGGAAAAAAGATGAACCATTAAAACCAGGAAAGGTAACTGGTCCACCGGCAAGAGGGCATACTTTCCAAATGCCATCTACAGCAACCTGAAAAGTATTCAGAAAACAAATTTGAAGCCTCAAATTTTTCATATCAAGTTGTGGTTTGACTTTGTGGAGTTTAAAAAGTTGTCAAAATGTGAAAACTGTGTGGGTAGAAATTGTTTAAAGGAAATTTCCCAATGTAGGACTTAAACTTTTTTATTCCCTAAATAGGACTTAATAATGACTAGTGAGAAGAATAATATCCAGAAATGATGGACATTTACTTGAATAATGACCAACTCATAATGACCAAAAGTCCTACATTGGGAAATAAAAACATATGGTCCTATATTGGAAAAGTCATTATGTTTTAGTCCTATATAGGTAAATTTCTCTTTACTTAACCCCTTCGTTGATACCTGTAGGGAGTTGTTAAAGCATCTGTGCTGATAACAACCATTTCCCTGGGTCATAGAACCACGTACAAAACCGGTGCGCACCAATGATGAAGCCATGCACCTGCAAGGAAGGAAAGATTCCATAAATATAGCTAGAGCTGTGAATGATGAAGTGAAATCTTACTTCTTTTTTTTTTTTTGCAAAAACATTTCTTTAAAAAAAAAAAGTCACCTTGAATTGCTCCCCCTAACTTCTCCTAACATCTGGTCAGGCGCACGTGCGCCGTTAGTGTCTGTACATGATCCATCAGAGTATGCAACAAAATAAGTGCAATAATCAGCTAATGATGACTGACCACCTGCAACATCAATTTCCAGCCTCTTGATGTTATATAAATATATATTTTGAAGAAGAACAAAAACGGTTTCGAATGGGATTCATAGGATTACCTCGGTTAGCTTGTGGGAAATATTGAGCCCATTCGGGAAGATTGCCGCTGTAGTTAACAATAGGACAGTAACCTTCAGCCTCTCGGTTGTAAGTGCATCCGGAAAACTGTGTGGAGTTGCAATGGTAGGGCCCCTTCCACTGATTGCAAGGGGAAGTGACAAAGTGTGTTCCTTGGTTGCGTCCCCAGTCGAGGCGATCAGCCATGCTGTAATTAGCACGGTACCATCCACTGTCCTCAAGTAGGGCAAGTGTCATTTTGGAAACCACTGATCTTGTGTCAACTGACCCAGTCATTATCTCATTCATCAATAGCCTTTTCTCCCAGTGAGACCCTGCAATGCAACATCTCATATTGGTTTCATTCATTCTCATCCAAAATTCAACTGAATATTTGATTGTCTAGTGTTTCATTTCAATCTTTTAAGAAACACAACTGCTAACGTAAGGGTGTATTTGGTTTGACCTTATTTTCAAGGAATAAATGCTTACTTGTTAGAGGGAGAAAAGTACTTTTACTCCAAAATGAAGCATTTGACATTTCAGATGAAAATAGAAAAGTTTTCTTTTTCACAATCACTTGACGGGATCATAAGACACTTGGACAAAACTACACTAAAAGATTGAATCCAATCGATTGGCTACTTTAACACAAGATCCTATCAACTCATCAATCTTTCTTAATTATTTATATACGAGACTCTAACACTTCAAAGTGGACAACGGAGTCATTATAAATCTAATTGGTCCACTTCAAAGTGGACAACGGAGTCCTTTTAAATCTAGTTGGTCCGCTTACATATAGACTTCATTTCCCCTGAAATGAAAGTTAAAAATGCAATGGCAGCACCTAAATAACCGCGTTAAAAATGCAATCCGCGCGCACACACACACAGTAGAAAAGACTATCAACCTGATGTTCCACGCCCACCTCCATCTTCAAGCTCTAATCCACTAAAATTAGCTGAGAACGCCTGCCAGTTTAAGATTTGTCAAGGCAACAAAGTAGTTTAAGTTAGTTATTGTTGTTAAATAATGTTAATGTTGCTAAGGCATGCATGGAAAAAAATGCTTCTATACATGGTACCAAAAATTGCTAGACGCCATCAGCCAAGCCCCCTATCACCTAGAGGGGCAGAGCGCTTAAGATAACTATGGTGCCAAGTTGGCTCATATTGAGTGACATGCGATTATATTGCATGTTTGTAACTTATGTCTAGCTTTTTCATTAAAGTACCAAAACATATACTTTTTTTACCAAGAAAAAGCTAGTTAAGAATGCCTGGAGAGGGAGCACCAAAGCCTCAGTACTCTCTATGCTAGCAGACCATTTGTATGAGAATCAAGAAAATTACTCGATAGTGATAGCGAGCGTGCATGATCACTCGAGGAAGCACCACTCTAGTCACCAATCTTCCAAGCTTTTCATCCATGGCTTGCTCAGTCACCTAAAAAAAATAAACATTCTTGCTTGACTGATATTGGCAAAAGGTGAATAATGCAATAACCAAGGGAAATCTATGGTTACACCCACTCCTTAGTGCTGAGGTGGATGAAAATCACGAAATTTAGAACAAAAGAACAAGAAAAAGAAGGCATTTTAATTGTTAGGAAATGGAAGAGAAAAAGAGTGAAAAGAGTGCTTGTTTTGGATTGTTATTAACATAAATATGAAAGGGAATAAAGCAAAGAAACAATCAACACGAACCTGAATACGCCTTCGCTTCCTCTCATCTCTAAAATGTGCAAAAGCATGTGGGTCAAATCCTAGAACATGCATAACCTGCAGAAACCCAAAGTTAGAAATCAACATTGGAAGAGAAACTTCGCAACAGCAAAGTGCATTGCATATTGACTTACCTCATGTATTAGACTAGCTGAAAGTAAGGTTTCTGATTCGGCAGTCAAGTGACGTGGAGCAACATTTACATGCCCTGGAAACATGAGTGATCCATTTAAACAAGCTCCTTTAGCACCGAGGGGGGGGGGTAGAAAATTACTACAAACAATCGTGAAAATATGTTTTGGGGTGTGAGTGACTATTCCTACATTGTAAAAGCTTGTACCATGGTTGAGTTTGTCAAAATTTAAAATTTGTACCTTGCACTTTTTGAGGCGAAGGTAGTAAGTATTTATGACATGATATATAAATTAATGCACTATAATGGAAGATACTTGGATATTTAACTTTAAAAATCTAACCAACCACATAAAAAACTAGCCTATTTTAGGGTGTGCTTAGGCAGCCTAGGGCAATGCTCCCCGCACCCCCACCTCCTATCGGTGCCTAGAACCTTAAATATAAAACTGATCAACACAAGATCTGTTTGAGAAAATTTACCAGCAACAGCACGACCCCATTGATCACGCTCACATGTGACTGCCCAAGCAAGTGTATTGCCAGTTGTAGGCCTTGTAGTTACTAAAAGAACTAGATCTGCATCAGCAACTCCTTCTGGAGTAAGAGAAATTGAAGAATATATCATTGATTTCTTTGTAGATATGACAACAGAATGAAGAGCAAAAAAGAGAAGAGGAAAGGTAATATCTATTGCAATTTTAAAAAAAAATACCTTCCACATACTCTCTAGGAAGTTGCACACCACCATCCTGTCCACAAGCAGAATATCCACTCAACCGCAGGTTCCCTCTCACAGGCTCAACAGCTAATGCATGTTTAAACCATTCAGCTGTTTGCCCAAGTGCCTACATTTTTTTCACCTCAACTTTTAGCTTCCCACAACTTGACTTCCCCGTGGAGAGATGGAAAGAACCCAAGAGTGATAAAATAGACGGTGCTTACTAATTATAGAAAAAAGTGATAAGCCTTTGTTGGGTTGAGGGATTTTGAAGGTGAGAGGAGAAAAGTGGAAGACTTGTGTGTATGGTTGGGAGTGTTCAAGCAAAAGGAGGCGAGCATAAAAAACTACAATGCTCCCCATATACCAGGTCCATAACTTGAGGGATTTTGGAGGAGTTATTTTTTTCTAAATTTCTTTGACCTTTTTTGGTTATCTACATAATCACTTTCATACATTAAAATCATATGTTTTTTCATAAGTCATACTACCGCTGTCCCAAATTATAAGTCTACTTTGACAAGAAAATTGTTGAAAAGTTAAAAGTGTGTGCTGAAATTGATTTGAAAGAGAGAAATAATGATGACCACATATTCCTAACTAAAAAGGGAATGAAATTTTATTCTGGGACAAACTAAAAAGGAAAGTGTGTTCTTTATTTTCAGACAGAAAGAGTAACATCTTTCAAAACTTTCCAAAAATTTCCTTTCTCAGAGTCTTCAAAGATATTGCCTCTAAACTACAAGATATAGAAGTACAATCTATTCACTCATCTTCAATCCTTTGTTGAACCAAACATAGGATTTTTTTCAAGCACCTCCAATTTTCTCCCCTCTCCATTCCTTACCATATGGAAGATAAGTACCATTGTAGCGTGCTTTTTCTTTCTTTCTTTTTAAATAAGGGCTATTTGCATCAACCTCCCCAGGTTTGGTCAAATTGCCAATGCCAAATGACCCTTGAGGTTCTAGACAATTACAATTAAACCTTTTGACTACTCATATTTTCAGCAAACGATGCTGAAAGATGATAGGATATGATGATGTCAGAATGAATTGACTTTGGGGCTATATTACCCTCAATGTTTATCCCAAATATTCTTTTTTAGAGAGAGCTTTAATTACTTTAGCCAATAAAATGCCCTTTAAAAATACCAAACTCAGTGTGAAAAGGCACAATTCTTGTTTTATCATGTACGGAGTATTATTTAGTCTTTCAGTTTTAAAAAAAGGGTCGCTTGAGGAATATCAGACTAGTCAAAGGGTTTATTAGTATTTTTGGGAAGCATCGAGATACATTTCGTAATTTGGTTGAATCTTGGGGGAGGTAGATGTAATTAAACAGAAAAATTATGATAGATAACATGCATGAGCCAAGGAGAATGAGTAAAACCTTGCGTAAGCGGTGTTTTTTGTCCTCTCCAGCTATATCATCTAAAGTACAGTTATACCAGCAATCCCCGTAAATTGGAGGATCCCCCTGAGGATTACAAGGTGTAACAGAATATGAAGCCCCTGGTGGTTCACCTAACTAGTGAACATAAATAGCAACATTAGTTCAACAACATTAGTACTATATCTAAGAAAGTCAATTTCTCCAAGTAACAGATAACACTTGCCTTAACAACATCTCCAACATTTTGACAGTCTCTATCGGATGAGTGCCCAACAGCATCATAATTTAAAATAATTCTAATTGGTTGCATAACATCCTTTGACTTCCTTGATATTCCCAGCAACGCCCTTCCCTTTCGGTGAATAGGCTCTGAAACAGCAGGCGCCTCATAGACCTGAGGGGTAACCGAATAGACCCGGTGTCCGGGTCGTTTTCTCTGTTCAATGATCTGATCGTGAATGCAAGAATGAGTTATAATATCTTCATTTTCCTTTTCTGTCCCTTGCCTCAGTAACCGATGCCCGTGAATTGATGTTTGTCCAAACTCAAAGCAGAGTAACAGCAATACAACCTAAGAAAAAGATTATACATATGATTCAATAAATCAGAAAATTTGCATTCTTTCTATTTTATTTATTTTCATAGTTTCAAAAAAAACTCAAAAAATAACAATTCATGTATGAGGCAAATAAAGTTTGCAGAGTGAGTAAACCAACAATTGGTAGTTAGAAATATTAACAGATCGTTTTCTTTGTCACAATCGTTATAAAGACTATCAAAACGGTGTTAACCTCATACGCACATTGAGACCATAAAATCCAAAGATAGCAGCCATTATCCCAACACAACAGGCAGAGCACACAAACGTCAAATTACTAAATCATACTGCTAGGTGTATGCTTTTCTGTTTCTTCAATGGAATTCTGGTCCAGACAAGAAACAGTTCCCCCAAACTATTTTGCTTCAATTGTTTAAATAGGTGAGTTTGAACACTAAGGACAAATATATTAGAAATAAAATAAAGTCAAATGAAAGAATGGCATAGCCAAAAAAGGAAATTGCCAAGAGGACATAATTAAGAATACCCAGAAATTGATGTCTCGAATGGGATTCAATCATCAAATTCGACGCACACTAAGAAACCAAAAAATCCTAAAAGCATAAATTTCCATATTTAGCTTCGGATAATTCATAGTATACAAAGAGCTTCCACATGCCAATAAATTCTTGATCTTTCCCGAGCGAAGAAATTACTAAAACTACCAAAACCCATCCAACTACCCAAACCCTAATCTGGAATCCCTCACTGAAACAAAATTAAAGCTTTTACCCAAAAAAATAAAAATGGTGGGGAAAAAGGGCACCTGGAGAAGAAAGATTGGAAATCGAAGCTTAGCAGAAAACTCCAGCGGCTTTGAACAAACACTAACAGTACTACATAAACTACAACACCAAATCCTCAACTCCATTAAAAGCAGCTTTCAAGACCGCCGCTACTCCAGACCACACAGGTCCCATCAAATTGCCACCGGAGCTTCGCCGATCAGATCCGGCTCCGGCCCCGGAGAGAATCGCCGAGTTTTCCGCATTACAGATGGGCAAATGGTTGCAGAAATACCCAGATGTTAAAAATCAAATCTTTAATCTAATGCGGAACTCAAAATTGCAAATGTATGAAATGGGAGTTGTTTGTTCGAGTGGCTCAAAAGTCTCGAACGATTTCCCAGCGAAATAAAGAAATCTCCTAGCTCCTCCCCTACTGTGAACTTGTTTTTTCTTTCGTTTTGTGTGGACTTCACCTCATAGGAATTTCAAGAAAGGCCAGGCCATATATAACCCATTATATATATTTGTTGTTGCATATATACAGATTACAAATAGGTAGGGATGGATAGGAATATGTTGTTGCGGGTGGGAGTATTTTTATACCTAGTATTGTTTCTTATAGAGTACCTAATCTTTAAAGGGATACCAAACCTTTGTCCCAAAATAAAGAAAGACTAGTGTGTCCACATTATTTTTTTTTATGATTTGATTTCACTAAACAAGACACTCATTCTTATTTTTTATTTTTATAAAGAAGTATGTCCTCAAACTTGAAACTTGATTTTAAAATATATTATTTCTGTTCTAAAATTTATTTTTATTTCTATGTTAATTGGTACAACGGTAACAACAATATAGTTGGATCTTACAAGAGTATAGTCTAGAAAGAATGTGTATATGCATACTTTGCCTCTCATCAAAGGTAAAATTGTCTTAATTTAGTCTATTCTTGTGTAAAGTGTTATAATTTTTTATGTTGTTCCAATCATATCTAAATAATTGATATTTATATACTTTGTAAGTGGTGTAACGATTCTCGATATTAATCTAATCATATACGGAGTATGAATAAATTATGTTTACATACTTTGTACTTCTTTCATACTCAATTATGTTTTTACTATATAAAAAAACTAAATTTTTTACTTTTTTATTGACATCAGTTTAAAAAATTCATATTTCTTTCAATAAAAGAATTGTGTCCTTCATACTAATTCTCACTCGGAAAATGTTAGAGTTACAAAATTCACAAACTTGTCTATTATGGATTTTAAATTAAAATACTTCGTATCTTTTATTATTTGAATGCATCTTATTTCTTGGAAAATGTTCTTCCCACTCACCCGCATAAATTAATACAATTACAGAATATCATTTTTTCTTGATTTTTATGGAAAAAAACCACTATGAACTAAAAAATGAGATGAATAATATTTTTGTTTTCACAATAATTTTGCAGTGAAAGTAATAATATTTTTACTGCATGATAGTTAAGCTCTAACTATGATAGGGTCTTTTTTGAGGTACCAATTTGGTGTGAAAGTGAATATTTTTGTTGAATGACATATGTTGAAAGTAGAGAACCCATTACCGAGTGCCAAATATTTTATCGTGTCCAAAAATATTTAGGCACATCAAACTAAACCTCAATTTATATATCATTCATGTTATCCGCTATATAATTTTTATTTAGAGTTTAATTTTTAAATTTTGAATAGAAAATGTATAATTAATGCATGAATAATATTTAATGTAGAGTATATTTTATTATTATACCCTAAGCATTACTATATTAAACATCATCCATGTGCATTTACCCATTAATTGTGTGCCTAACTAACTCGAAGGCTTTGGGAGGGGAATGGTGGCAATGTGTAGTTCATACGTAATGCATTGGCTCCACGCCTTCTAACCCTTGCCTCAATGTGGGCCATATTTCGTTTGGATATACTCCACGTCCGTTTTAATGGGCCGGGAATGGGTTATTATAAGTTTATAACCCAAGCTTCCATTCTTTCTTTTTGTATATTAATATATACTCATCAAAATCATCAAAAAAAAAGTATTGAAAATCAGAAAAGAGTGGTTGAACCACATATGTTTTGTCCCAGTGAAAGATTGTTGGTCATATACTCTTTATTTTATTAAGAAAATAAAGACGTTGAACAATTATTTTGGGACAGACTAAAAATAAAAAAAAGATTTGGAATGATTAATTCATGATAAAGGGAGTATAATAATTACAACAAACCCTATTTTGGATACAAAACGGATGAGCTTTTTGGTGTATATAAAGAGCAAGTACATCAAATACTTTACATGAGATGGGCAGGTATGTTGTCATGTTGATATTCACTCAAATTATTTTCAACACACCATTAACATTTACATTTTGTAAATAATCTCTTTCGTTTACAAACAATTGTCCTAGTTTGATTTTTATGAAATTTAAAAAATAGTAAAATTGTACAATAACGTTTTTTACAAATGAGTGCGACAATGTTTTATGAATTTTTTTTTAAACAATGCAAACCACTTATTTAATTTGTTCCTTAAATGTAATAAGATTTAGTTGGAAAACATAAAGAGTGTGACACATCATGACATCATACCACACCCTCTTCTCGCTTTTGATAGTGCGACACAAAAATCAGTGAAATCAAATTATAAAATTTTTTCACACAAAGAGATTGTAAACAAAATCGATCAAAATTTAGAGTTGAAATATGATTGAAGTGAATTTATTTTCTCATAATAGAACAATTTTGAGACTTGAATTACATATGAAACTAAAACAGTGATTTATTAAGTTTTACGGAGTAATTAATAATGCATGCCTCCAAGAAAATCTTGGGCCTAATATGATCCATGAATTAGGCTCAAGAGATAAGCCCAATGGTCTGGGTTTAAATACCTATGGGCTGGCCATGCTTGTGCAATTGGACTTGGGTCAATATATTTTAACATTTCTAATGTCATATCCTGCATCTTTATGGACTCGCAAATCAAATTTGAAACAGACTTAAACGGAGTATGGGCCTTAATTTTTGGGTATATGGGGTTTCATTTAGAAAAAATCTATCTAAATCATTTAATCTCTATGTTTTAAAATAAAGTTTATAATAGGATTTTATAACGTTTTATGAGAAAAAATATAATTTGCATGTGATTGAAATTTGTTTATAAAATCGAGAAGTATTATGAGTCATATATTCTTTTTTAACAAAAATTAAAAAACCATAGACTTTATTATGAGACAACTTTAAAGAAAATGCAAACTTATTTTTAAAATTGCAAATCCTTAACCAATTTGGAAAAAAATCTTTATAATTCTAATTTTATGTTTCAAAAGCATATAACATGGATTTATTGTTCATATAATTTTTGTGACCCACTCTTCCTTCTATAACTACAAGTAGGTAAATTCAAGTCTAGTTTCAGTTAACAAATGCGAGCATTGACTATTGGTATAAGGTCAAACAGGACTTACAAACCTTGTTGTCCTCTCCTCAAATAAATAACAAACCAATATTTTCATCAAACCACTTGAACCAATTACTTCTTTTTATCCCTTTCAAAATCTAAAATTTGGAATGAAATGAATGTGGCTATTCAAATTGAGTAATTAGAAAAGTTTGGAACTCGTTTGGTGATTAGGGAAAAGTGGAAAAGTAATGTACCAAGAATACAATGTGGTTTGATTTTAGCTGTTTTATCCTCAACTTTCTACTAAAGAATTTCATATTTTTCTTATTTAAATGTTTTGGAAAAGTAAAAAAACTCACACTTTTTCTTTTAGAGATAAAGAATATGCCATCTACAAAATTGTTCTTTTTTAAACAAAGCTCAACTATTTCTGAAATTATATATTTATCAAGATTCTTAAATTTTAATTCTACAATTTGGTGTCCTTAGTTCAAATTACTAAGGTATACTCCCTCCGTTCCACAAAACTCTTCCGATCTTGACTTTGGGGAAAAATAAGGAAAGTGTAATTTTGGTTGACTTTCTAATTTTGCCCCTGATGTGATGGCAAAAAGTAAGATGTGATAGTTTGGTTATTAGTGAAAAAGTATGATGTGATAGGTAGGGTATGAAAAAATAGGAGTAAAAGTGATTTTTTAATAGAAAGTGGAAGTGTTTTGTGGAAAGCAAAAAAACGAAAGAGGAAGGGTTTTGTGGAACGGAAGGAGTAGATTTTATTTAGACTTTGTTAGAAACTAGAGAAATTTTCCCAAATCTGATTTTTTGGATTCCTAAACATGTAGTTCACGTTTGGGATCAGCGTTAGAGATTAGCATAAGTGTTTTGAAAAAGATATATGAGCTTATGCCGTTAGCATTTTCAGAATGGCAAATTCTTGGGTGGTCTTAAAGTCCACATTCATTAGATAAGCCTTAGCTCATTTCTCTTAACTTATTCTTATTACTTATTACTTTTTCTTATTGAAATCAATTCATATCATATTAAAAATAGCTTTAAATATGAATAAATTCAGATCAGATCAGACCCTAGCAGATTCGATCAAAACTTATTCCAATCAGATAAAAATCATTCAGATCAGGTGAAGAGAAGATGACCTGGCCTTACTATGAGGGTCTTTCTCTGTACTAGTGTTTATTGATTTATTGATTATAAGCAGTTTTAAACTTATAAACTGGTTATAAGTTTTTAAAAAAATCATGTAGTTTAAATGACTTAAATGATATATAAGTCATTTGGAAATATTCATAATGGGTAAGGGAAAGTTTTAAAATTAATCTAGTCAAAACGGAAAAATGAAAAAAACTAGTTAAAAAAAATGTGAGACCTATTTATTTTTTCTGACTTATAAATGTTTATAAGTCAGCTTATAAACACATAGAAACACATCATATGCTGACTTATAAGTTAAAAACTGCACTTAAGCAGTTTTGACCAGCTAACAAACACAGAGGAACAACCACTATATAAACATCATGGTTGAACTTCTTGCAAATAAGACATTAAAATTCAAATTTGAGTACCCAAATGAATTATAAAATCAAATAATGATATTCTTTGTTTGAGGGAAAGAATATAATATTCCTTTTTTAAATTAAAACGTTACCTTTGAAAATAATTCTACCCATTCGCGTCAGATGGATCTGGCATGGGGCTGATTCTTGATTAATTGAGAGATGATTAGATGTATTTTTGTTTCTCATAGGAAAAATTATTAAACAAAAACTCATACGGATTTTTCTCATATTAAGAGGAAAAATTCTTAAACAAAAACTCATACGAATTACGCATCACATTAAATGATATTTTTGAAAACTCAACAACAAAATAAACTCTCATTAAATTCTTCAACAATCAAAACCTCCCATGTTTTTAGGACGGGAGGAGTATTATACTAGTCTTTATAACAACAATAGTTTACCATATTCATCCTATATATTACCATATACGCCAATTTGAGAGTATCTACGCTAAGATATTGTTCTCTTCAATTAATTTTTTTACTTATTATGTATTCTTATTAAAATCTGATCAGATGAAATAACTTTAAATATAACTATATTCAGATCAGATCAGGTGAAGATAACATAGCCCAAGACAAAGTTCATATCCAGAGATGTGTATATGGTTAAAATAAATATAAAAAAATACGTATTGAATAAAATATCCTTCCATTTTATCAAGAATCAACCTTCTCCGTATAAAACAATACTTTTGTGTGATATATTAAAGTTAAGTCACGAATATTTTGATCACAAACTGCACAAACTTATTAAGTAATAATATGTTAAAAGTAGTGGAGCACTATATATGCTTCTCATGAATCCTCACCGTATGATATGATTTAAATACTCCATTTTATAAGTTAAATTTTGATTTTGTATAAATATTGGGGGAAACAAATGTTTCATGTCATGAAAATGTGTGTAACTTTGTCAAAAGTTGTGGAAATTATGATTCCATTTTAATTGTGCACATTTAAAACAAAGTTTTTCGGACAATTTATTGGGATGAGTTTAACTAAGTAATGACCTTGTGGTAGTAGTGGATGGTGTATCCGGTCAAGGAGATTTTCATTTTATTTAATTTTTTCCCCCCTCTAAGTTCTAACATAACAATTATTGTGAAATGCCATAAGCAAGCTAGTAGTGAACTTTGTTTGTGTGGTTCCTTCTGTTTTTCTTTTCTTCTCTATTTTTTCTTTCTAAAAGCAGACTTTGAAAATAAATCTTGTTGTTTGAGTGCCAATAATGCAGTGAATTATTTGGATGTATACTCTAAACAAAAAATCACTTTATCTGAATATGCAAATTAATAAAATAAAAGAATGCAGTTAAAACAACTTCAATAAAATATTGCACTCCATATTTCGAATAGAAGCTCACAATATTTCCTTTTTTTTGTCTGAATAAATAAATTTATACATTTTAAAATTACGTACCTAAATATATGAGTATTTCTTAAACTCTGTAATAGCCGGCGGGCGTTGCGCAGTTGGCAAATGCAAAGAGTGTCAAAAAGATAGATCCAAGTTTCAGAGTTCTGATTCCCGGCAACTGTACAGGAAGACAACTATGTTAAATCTAGAGCCTCTACAAGTACCAGGTGCAATCACAAAACATAGTTCAAAAAATGATTTCAAAAAATAAAAATTTTAATTCGTAATTTTAAATTTGTAATCAAACTAGAGACGGAGAGAATATTAAATTGCAAACATCTGTACACAATAGTGAAAGCAGAAAACATAGTTCAAAAGCTAAGCAAAAAACGTGAAAAAGCACATTTTTTGGGGGGTATTTCCCGAAAAAGAGAGGCAATTGGTCGTAAAAGCAGAAAAAAAAGTAGGAGGATACATGGAGAAGTAGAAGAAAGAACGAAAGAAATTGAATGGGTCAGCCGATCTACTATTTCCACGGTACCCTACCCATTCTTCTATCTCTACTTTGATCGATTTTAGCTCTTTCCACGTCCTTTGCCATTTTTGTAGGAAAAAGATTAAAATAGGAATAAAACACTAAAAATATATCAAATTAAGAGTTTTATATTTTTATTTTTGAAATATGATTAAAATGTACTTACATGCATTACCAATCATAACTTTGTACATTACGTAAAATGCAAATGTACAATGTCATATTACCATAGTGCGAACTCATATTTATCAAATAAAAATACTGAACTTCTATTTTGATACTCCCTCCGTCCCAAAATATTTGCCACATTTGCTTTTTCAACCGTCGCGGGAACTTTTGTTTATTTCTACGTTTTCATTGCTTATTTGATAAAATAAAATATTCTTGACACCTCTTATTTCGAAGAACTTTTCATGTAATTTTTTATATGTAATTTTTATTTTTTATTTCTTTACCAATATGTAGATAAAATGAATTGAAAAAACTTGATATTTTGCCTCGGTAATAGAAATGTGACAAATAATTTGGGACGGAGGGAGTACTTTTTTATGTTTATGTTCAATTTAGAGTGATTTCTTATTATTTTACTACACCCTCTCATCTGGAGTATTTGTTCTTTTTTTATTACTTTTTCCGAATTTTCATCACAAATTAAACAAACGTGATGTTAGATGGTGAAAAAAATAAATTTTATTAGATTCATTTTATAAAATATTTTCAAATTATTATTTTATATAATGAATATACAATATATATTTTATTTAAGTATGTGTCAAAAGTTGAAAACAATTAACTATAAAATATCAAAATTGGATTTTCAAGAACGGAGGTAGTACTAGTTATTCTTTTCCTCCTCCAATTATTGTTCTAGTTAAAATTAAATTTTTTTGCCAAATTCCAACTTCCTTTTACCATAATTTTGAAAAAAACATTTTGATTTTTTTTGAAAGGAAATGTGTCATTAATTCGAAGCGTCAAAATGTAAAGCATCACAATTACCGACTATGAGAGACACTCACTCAAAAAAATCAGAGATAAGTCAGACGCTTTAGCTAACATGTCATCAACATGATTTGACTTTCTAACAATCGAACAAGAAATCTGAGTAAACGCAGGCATCAAAACTAAATAATAAAAAATAATCAAGTAAAATATGAAGAGTTTTAAGTTATAATATAAATTTAATATTATTAATCGAGCTCATCTTAAGATACTCCGACATAATTTTGATGTATTAAATTTTTACACTCCCTCAGTTCGTAAATTTACTACCTGATTATTGATCAAGAGCCTCTATGTTTTTTTATTTGTGCATTTTTATTTATAATCAGATAAAATAAAATGTTTATGTCATCTTGTTTTATAGAACTATTATTTTAAAAATTGCATGAATTCACCTTGAACTTTAATCTATTTGAACCCTAAAGATCCATGCTTGATTTAGTCGTCGGTAAATCTAGACCTGGACACGGTACTGGTTCGGTTCCGTCACCAGAAACGGTACCGCCGGTACCGAGCACCGTAACGCCTACCGGAACGGCGAAACGGTTCCGAAAACCGGCACCGGTACCGCCACATCCGGTCTCGGTTCCGGTGCCCCAAATTCGTTACCGGCACCGGTTCCGGTACCGGTTATATTTTTTTTTCTCCTTTTTGCTCTCCAACCAGTCCAAGGCTGTCCAACCAAGAACCAACGGATACCTGCAAAAAAAAAAACAA